AAGGAGGGGGGAGGATGCCCGGGAGGAGGGAGGAGCAGGAAGGTAAGAGTGCGAACGTTCGAAGAAGTCCTAGGCGAAGGCGCCATTTCACAAGGAAGTCTCGGGCGGCAGCCCACGACGGGCGGGCGATCCTCTGACGGGCGGGTCGGGCGTGTGGGACATTCAAGCGGATGCCTGAGTAGGGCGAGAGCGCGATTCCTAAGGAAAGTGTGACGGCGTCCTTGGCGCGAGCGTGGTGCCTGAGCGTAGATAGCACGATGTCTGAACAAACTGCGAAAAAGTCACAGACGAGAGCGCAATTCCTGAAAAGGGGATGTCTGGCGGAAGCGGGGGTCTGGACTAAAGCGCAAGGAAATCTTAAGCGGGATCGCCGTTCTTGAGTAATTTGTGAAGAAACCTCAGACGGGATGGGGGGTCCTGACTAAATTGTAAGGAAGTCACAGGCGGGAGCGCCGATCCTGAGTAAATTGGGAGAAAGTCTCAGGCGGGAGCGGGAGTCCTGAGTAAAGTTGGAGGAAGTCTCAAGCGGGAGCCGTTGTTGTTGTAGCCCAAGAAAGCAACAACGCAGTTGGACCCGGACTAAATTGCGAGGAAGTCTCAAGCGTCAGCGCCGTTCCTGAGTAAATTGGGAGGACATCTCAGACGGGAGGGGGGGGTCCTGAGAAAATTTGGAGGAAGTCTCAGGCGGGAGCCGTTGTTGTTGCAGTCCAGGGGGCCAAGGGCACAGTTTGAGCACCAAGACTTTCCCTGTAAAAAACAGGGTGCGAGCGTCGAGGGGCACACTTTGACTAAGAAAAAACAATATGCACCAGTGAGGGGCGATCAACAATACTTATTCTTCAGAAATGAAAATTCAACAACACCAACCAACAACAGCAACAACACCAACAACAATAACAACAACACCAACACCACCAACAACAACAACAACACCAACACCACCAACAACACCAGCAGCAAGGACAACACGAACAACCACAATGGAAACCACAACCACAACCACAACCACAACATCAACAGCAGCAGCAGCAACAACAATCACTTTGAGACTGTTCGATCCTATCTGCTCACGTGCCAATCAGTACGTCTATCCCAAGACTTCGGTACCCGCCCTCGTCGTCTTCGATCGTACCCCCTTGGGGGTATATCTTCCTTACGTGCCACGTGTATTTAGTGCAGCCCTTAAAACAAGGAAAGAGAGGATGGGTGGAAGGGGGAGGGGGAAGAATGGAGCACGAGAGAAATTAGCAGGAGGGGGGCAAGGAGCAGAAGACAAGTGGTAGAACCAGACGGGCAGATCGGGTGGGCAGACCCATAGCGGGCTGGTCGGGAAGGCGAGCCCAGGCGACGAGGTCGAGCAGGCGGGTTGCTGAAGCGTGGGTCCTGCATGAATCGCGAGGACGTCTCGAGCGATAGCGCGATTCCCAAGTAATCGTGAGAAAAGCCAGCGTGGGCCACGACGGGCATAAAATCCAAGGCCACAGAGTGCAGCTACGGGGCCGCTGAGGGCAGCACCAGGGCCACGAAAGGCAGCGAGGGGGCCACAAAATGCGACAGCGGGGCCACGAAAGGAATGCAGATGGGGCCACGACGGGCGCGAGCAAGCGGGGGCCACGAAGGACATTCATATACGGGGCCACAAAGGGCGACAGCGGGGCCATTAAGGGCAGCAAAGGGGCCACGAAGGGCAGCGAGGGGCCACGAAGGGCGACAGCGGGGCTACGGAGGGCATGCGTATGGGGCCACGGTGGCGGCGGCGGACACGACGACGACGACGACGACGACGACGACGACGACAACGACGCCGCCGACGACGACGACGGCGGCGGCGGCGGCGGCGGCGGCGGCGGACACGACGACGACGACGACGACGACGACGACGACGACGACGGCAAGGCCAGGCGCCCGCGGGCCTCCCGCTTCTCCGCGCGCCGGCGCTCCGCGGCGGCGGCGACGGCCGCGGCCTGCTGCCGCTGGACGCAGGCTTGCTGCCGCTGCAGCCTCGAGAGGTCCTCGGCGGAGACGTCCACCGGGGGGGCCTCCTGCGATGAGCAATAAAAGAACCCGTCGGCCGGAAGAAGTGGGTAGAACCATGAAGTAGGAAGGCATTGGGAGTAGGTCGGATCAGCTGGCAAGGCTAGCCAGCCCGAGCGTAGGAGGAGCTAGGGGTAGGTAGGTGGCATGGTCCTTGTTGTCATTGAGCTCTGACGCAACATGTTTGGCTCCAGTCCGGAGGGCTAGCAGCGGCCAATTTCCCTTCGCAAAGGGGGAGGAGCCTTTAGCAGATGTATCCGCGAAGCCCAACCCAAAAAGAGAGGGGTACAACCGCTCGACTCTTGAAGTAGGAAGGCGCCCTAAAGTAGACTGGGATCTGGGAATCAACACTTGCGTGCTTTCAACAACCAGCGTGTAGTCTGGGACGCACAAAGACATACATTAATACGATGTGTCCTTCTCGGATTCGGGCGTCCGGCCCGAATCTATAGTATAACCAACTTGTAGCGTATTGCTTCCCGAGCGATATGGTCAGAAAGCGCCCCCCACGGAGCTTTTACCAAACATTTTATCGGAACGCGCGCATCGCCCCAGGGGGGGCGACATACACATAGTATTCGTATGTCGGTGTAGCACCGATATTCCGCCAACCCCCTTGCGGGGCCATCAGGCTGCGAGGATTAGCCTTGCTGCTCCCTGCTCCAGCTTCAGTTTCCAGTATCCAATGTGATAATTCTACGTTCGTTCTGCTTCCTAATGTAAATTGTTGAAGTCCGCGCGAGGGGGGGAACCGTAAAGCAGCCTGGTTAGCGTCCCCCTCGGGGGTTCCCAGAATTCCTGAGGGGGGGCGCGGGACAAGCAAAAATACATGAGCGTCGCGTCCCGAGGCCATAGACCTTCGTAAAATACGCCGCGCTCGCGTTCCCGAAGCCATAAACCTGAGTAAATTACAATAATTTCGCGTTCCCGGAGCTAAAATCTTTAATTACACCAAACAAAAACCCTAATCGGTGAATGGTTTGATCGATGAGGAGATCGACCGGGAACCTGGGAGCCCGAAACCCACCGAAATCGACCCGGAACCAATGACACAGAACTCGGGGTTCCAAAACCGGGAACCCGGGAACCTAGCCGGCCATCAAAATCGGTGGGAAACTTCCGCCAAATCTGTTAATTTCCGCTGGGACCCCTCCAGTGCAAGCGCTGATTGGGGAAATTCGAACACCGAAATGATATCGAAACTGGACGGTTTTCAAGCGTCGGGTCCTGGGAGGCGACACTCGCTCGGCACTTCGCCAGCGTGCTGGACATACACTATCTCGATACTTGTCGGGGTGTTCGACACAATTTCTGGAGTGTTCGACACAACTTCTGGAGTGTTCCTGAAGTGCGATGGGAGCAGCAGAAGCGAAATCAGGGAAGATCGCTGGGATTGAGCAACCTATCCGGCGGAGGTCTGGCGCCAGAGGGCAAATTCCAGCCAGGGTGGCCATGCCGAGGGCGCGATTGGGGCTGGAACTCTGCGGACCCGGCCGCGGCGACGAGGGCGCGCTCCAGGTCCCCAAAGGGCAAAACAAGGATGATAGATGTTTATACCCATATCTCTACGTGTTTGTGTACTTATATGTAGATATGACGATGTATGCACTATACAAGGATCTATTTATACATGCATACAAGAATGTTTTTTTGTTTTTTTTGTTTTGAATTTCCGCCCGAAATCAGCGACCCCAGACATCCGACGAGGTGTTTTTCCAACGCGCAGCCCCCCAAGAAAGGTCTCCCGATCCCTGCCCCAGGGGGTACAAGAGATCCCTTATTAATCGTCCCCCGGGTCCGGTTTTTTAGGGCGCCTTTTTGAAACTGGAGGTTCCAGTTTATTAGGGCGCTCTCTTTGGATTGGAGCTTAGGTGGACCGGTTTATTAAGGCGCCCAGTCGAAGAGGGGGGTCCGGAATATCAAGTCACATTTGGAGGGGTGGTCCGGTTTTGTAGGGGGTGGTCGATTAATAAGGGGTTTGGAGTAATAAGGGGTTTGGAGTAGCTTGATTCATCCATGGATCCATGTTGCATGGTCGCGGGGCCCGACAGCGGGACCCTGGGGCCGAAAGCTGGGAAGAGCGCCAGGATCGAGACAAGCGTGTCGTCGGAGACCTGGGGATGGGCCGCTTGGATCACCGCGGGGGTTGTTAAGCGGACAGGGGGTCCGGAAGGAATGTTGAGGCGGATGATATCTGGCCTAGCGTACAAGTGAGTGGCGAATGCCCGAAGTGGCTCAAGGGCGCGGGATCCAGGCTAAGTGGGCGGAGCCCACTTGGGGGAGTTATCTTATCACCCTGAGCCGCTCGGGGCACGTGGACTCCACTTATAAGTTGGGTTCGGCCAGATCGTACCAACCTTAGCATCCTCTTCCCCCAAAATCGCCTTAGCAATCCCGCGGAGATCCAGGCAAGGGGTCGAAATCAAGGACAAATGCCGGGACTGAGACAATCATGCCGTCGGAGGTCTGGGGATGAGTCGCCCCTCCAGGAGGGGCAACAAGCCATGAAATCCGACATTGCAGAACAGACAGCAGCGCGAAACATCACGACCCCCTAGACCCTTTCTTTCCGCCGCATTTCTCTAGCCGGATCGATCTATGATGAGGATCCTGGGCCCGAGACCACGCGAAAGCGCCCGTTGAGAAGGGTCTCTGGCGCTGAACCCAACCAGATTTCGTTGTTAACAATACGCACCTGTGAATATCGCCTTCAATGGGGCTCCCTGTAGGCCCACGACACCTGTTAGGGCTGTGTCGAAATGGGCCCGGGGGCGCATGCAGGCCCTGCCACTGAGGCCTTCGGTGGACTTTCCTATGGGGCAACGAAACGTGTGTGGGGAGTGTGCCGAACTGGGCCTCGGGTGCACTGGAGGTGGCCTGGGGACGCATGCGGGCGCTGCCCTTAGGGCTTTCCGCGGAGCTCCCTATAGATCCACGAAGCGTGTGATGTGTTTGTGTGTGTGTGTGTTTGTGTGTGTGTTTCTGTTTGTGTCTGTTTGCTTGTTTGTTTGTGTGTGTGCGTGCGTGCGTGCGTGCGTGCGTGCGTGCGTGTGTGTGTGTGTGTGTGGGTGCTGCGTGTGTGGGTGTGGGTGTGGGTGTGGGTGTGGGTGTGGGTGTGGGTGTGGGTGTGGGTGTGGGTGTGGGTGCGGGTGTGTGTTTAGGTGTAGGTGTAGTAGGTGTAGGTGTAGGTGTAGGTGTAGGTGTAGGTGTAGGTGTAGGTGCAGGTGCAGGTGCAGGTGCAGGTGCAGGTGCAGGTGCAGATGCAGGTGCAGGTGCAGGTGCAGGTGCAGGTGCAGGTGCAGGTGCAGGTGCAGATGCAGGTGCAGGTGCAGGTGGAGGTGCAGGTGCAGGTGCGGGTGCAGGTGCAGGTGCGAGTGCAGGTGCAGGTGCAGGTGCAGTTGGGAGGTGGGAGGTGGGAGGTGGGAGGTGGGAGGTGGGAGGTGGGAGGTGGGAGGTGGGAGGTGGGAGGTGGGAGGTGGGAGGTGGGAGGTGGGAGGTGGGAGGTGTGTGGTGTGTGGTGTGTGGTGTGTGGTGTGTGGTGTGTGGTGTGTGGTGTGTGGTGTGTGGTGTGTGGTGTGTGGTGTGTGGTGTGTGGTGTGTGGTGTGTGGTGTGTGGTGTGTGGTGTGTGGTGCGTGGTGTGTGGTGTGGTGTGTGGTGTGTGGTGTGCGTGCGTGCGTGCGTGCGTGTGTGTGTGTGTGTGTGTGTGAGTGTGTGTGTGTGTGTGTGTGTGTGTTTGTCTCTGTCTCTGTCTCTGTCTCTGTCTCTGTCTCTTTTCCAGGTCTCTGCCTGTGTCTGTGTGTGTGTGTGCCGAAATCGGCCTGGGGACGTGGTGCGAGCTGTGCCACTGGGCGTTAGGTGGAGCACCCCATTGGGCCACGAAGCGGGTGAGAAGCGTGCCGAAATGGCTGGGGGACCGCACGCGGTCCGCCCCCCCCTGGGGCCTCAGCTGGGACTCCCGACAGGACCGCGGAGCGTGCAGAGGGCATACCGAAATGGGCTGGGGTATCGCATGCGGCACCCCTCTCCCTGGAGCCTCAGTTGGAGCTCCCTTTGGGGCCACCAGACGTGTGAGTGGTGTGTCGAACATCGGCTGGGGGACCGCATGCGGTCCCCCTTCGGGCCTCTGCTGGAGCCCCCTGTGGGGCCATGAAGCGTGTGAGGAGTGTGCCGGGACCGCCTGTAGCTCCTTCTGGGGCTGCGGAGCGTGTGAAAGGTGTGCCGAATTAGACATGCGGAGGGAAGGGGTAGGCATGGGAGAAAGGAGGATGGAGGTGGGAGGTTGAGGTATCGCGGGGCGCTGCCTCCTCAAAACGAGGATTCGACACCACAGGATCGGGTCGGGCGAAAGGGGGGGATAGCAAAGGGGGGGGGTGAGAATCAGCTCACGTAGCTGATTTTCCCGGCGCCTCCCCGCGCCAGAGGCGCCCATGTATCGAGGAATGGGAATGGGCCCCTCGGTGAGGCCGAAACCAGCTGCATGCAACAAAATCTCGTACCCTCCCCTTTCCCAATCCCCCCCTTTCGCCCAGCCCGACAGGATGGGTGCGAAAAATTGTAACGCCGGGGAACTCAGGGAGCGAGGGCACAGTCATGAGGGGCAACGCCACGGGGGCGCTGGCATAGAGGGGGGGACACACCGACCTGTCGTCGGCGGCACACCGCCGGCAGGTCGACGATGGGCCCCCAATAACAAATCTGCATGTTTAAAGGGGCCTCAGGACACACAAACAAATACACACAGATAAACATATTCCCCATATTTTCCAAATATTTTTTCTGGGTTTTTGTCTTCCCCCCCCGCTTCCCATATTTTCCCATATTTTCCTTGGGATAGTCGATTAATTGTGTCTGTGTATTTTTTGTTTCCCTCCTGAATGTTCCTAGGCGGGTTTGGGGCCAAATTACTGAGCCCCCCGTCGGCGATCCATGGGCGACATCGGGGCCGATGCATCCCCCCCCCGTCCCCCCCCTGTCGCTGCCCCCGAGATCAGATCAGCGAAGATCTGGGATCCGGCATGGGGGGAACGGGTCCTGAGGGAAGCGGGTGCTGGAGCCATGGGGCCTTCCCTCACGACGATATCTTCTGAGGAGCCACGATAGGGGGGGGACTGGCATAGGGGGGGAAGCATCGACCTGGAATCGGCGACACATCGCCGATAGATCGGCGATAGGCCCCCGATAGTGAATCCGCACGTTCCTGGGCAGGTTGGGGCTATCTCGCTCCTATCGGCGATCAATGGGCGATTGGGGGTCGGTGCATCCCCCCCTATGCCTATGCCCCCCTATCGTTGCACCTGATCTTCATTCTGAACCGTCTTCTGACAGCCCCGGGGCCCGCGGAGGGCCCTGGAATGCGAAAAACTGCGAAAAAACCTCACTGGGCGATGGGGGGTCGATGCGTCCCCCATGTGCCCATGTCGTTACCCCCAGAATCGCATCGTCGTAAGTCTGGGATCGCCGCTCTGAGGAAATCAACTGGTACGGACGCCGCTACTCCCCGGACCTCTCCCAGGGTGCGTTCTGACGCATTTCTTCGAGGCGAATCCAGCAGTGGCGACGAGGGCCTCCCAGGAGGCCCCAAAAAGTGGGAAACGAGGAAAGGCTCGGAGGTCCGCGCGGACTTCTTGGATCCGCGCTGGGACCCCCTGGCGGCGCATCCGGCGCCGCCCCTGGCGCGCTCCGCGCTGGAGGCGCCGCCAGGAGGGTCCCAGCGTGGATCCAAGCACTCCGCGCGGAGCGCTAACAGTTTAAATGTTTTGGCGTTTGTTTTTCTTCGAAATATGGGAACCAGATCCTCCTCCGACTCCAGCGCGGATCCCAGAAATCCGCGCGGAGCGCCAAAATAGTATGTTTCGGCCGTTATTTGTCTTCGAGGTCGGAAAACCTGTTACCTGTTCCTCCTCCTCCTCCGACGGCAGCGAGGGTCCCCCCGGGAGCCGAAAACAATGAAAGACTTGCCGTCCTGGTCTTGCACGACGCGATCAACTCTGGGCTTATGTTGCTCCCATCGCACTTAAGGACCACATCCCAGGAAGAATTTCGAGCACCCAGAAAAGTGTCGAAAGAGTGTCGAAACAGCGTCGGACGAGTGTCTCCTGGGGCCCGACGCGCGCAAACCCTCCATTCGCTGCACGTTCCTGGCGCTCGAACTTCTTTCTGGCGATCGAGGCTGAAGCAGGCTGGAACCTCCTGAGCCTGGGCCCCCTCCTCCGACGCCCCCCGCCCCCTCGGGTCCTGGCTCAGCGCCGGCAGGGCGCCGAAGACCTCCTGCGCCGGCCGAGGGGGGCGGCCGCCCGGCCGAGGAGCGTGCGGCGGCGCGCGGGGCCAAGGGTGCGGTGTGCGGGGGCCCCCTGGGAAGCGCCCCCCGGGGGCAGTCTATCGGGGGCGGCCTTCTCTCCCTCCTCCTCCTCCTCCCCCTCCTTTTCCTCCTCCTCGTCCTCCTCCTCCTCCTTTTCCTCCTCCTCCTCCTCCTTTTCCTCCTCCTCCTTCTCCTTTTCCTCCTCCTCCTCCTCCTCCTCCTCCTCTTCTTGGTCCTCCTCCTCTCTCCTCCTGGCGCCGAAGACGAGTCGACGCTCTCGGCTGCACCCACACCCTCGCGGGCACTGAGCTTTATGAGCAATGGAACGATCATGTATCGGGAGCGTCCAAGAGGGGGGGGCGCAAATCATGGCCGGCGGCATGTGCGCGGGGGCCAGGGGCGTGTTGAAATGAGAAAAGAGGCGCAGTGAAATCTGCGGAGACATTATGCCCCCCGCCATGAACTCCACCTCCCCCCTAGTCATCACCCCCCTCTTTGCCGACCCCGAGTCTTCCGTCCTGGGGGCTAGCCAGGACCCGAAAGCGGCCCCCTGTCGCAAGGGTGTCAACCCAGAACCCCTCGCGTTGTGGAACGAAAAACACGACGGGAAATTCTTCACTATTTTCGGCCTCCGGGGGCCCTTACCGGGCCTCGGGACCGTCGAAAAACTAATCAGGATGGAAAACTTGTCCCAGGGAAGGGGTCCAGACCTCTGGGGGCCGACGATGCGACAAAGATCACGACGTCTGGGGTCCGGGAACGGGTCCCGAGGGAAACGGGTCCTGAACCCCAGGGTTTAGCTGCTCTGATACGCACGTTTTGAAACGTCATACGTGCCGTGTTCAAAACGCCCGTGTTCAAAACGTTCGTGTTCAATCTACGTGCTGAGCTCCGAATCAATACGCTACGTGTTGCGTGCTGCGTATCGGGGCAGCTAAGCCCCAGGGCCTTCCCCAGAACGAGACTCTCTTCATCCCGAGCCGTTTTCTGACACTCCCGGGGCCCGTGGAGGGCCCAAGTGGGCCCGAAAGCGGCAGACACCTCAGGGCCTGCTCTCGGGGCCTGCTCTCCCCCCCCATGGCGACACCTGCAGGAGCCCAAAGCGAGGAACAAAAAACACCAGTGGACCAGTTCAGAGAGATCTGGGTGCCCGTCGATCGGGAGGAGTGGTGAGAAGCAGGGATCAGGAAGACAGCGAGAGAAGCTCTGCTGTCCGCACGCCCCCAGAGAACGAAGGAAGAGAGGACACCACGCGCTCCTTGCGATAGGGAGGCGCTCATGGGACTGGAGTCTGGGGATCCACGAGGGAGTACTCTTACCTGCATCCTCCTCCTACCACTCCTCCAGGATGCTGCTCCTGCTCCTGCTCCTCCTCCTTGCCCTCCTCGACGTTGCCGTCGTCGTCGTCCTCCTCCTCCTCCTCGACCTCCTTTGTCCTCAGCCTCCTCCTCCTCCTCCTCCTCCTCCTCCGCCTCCTCCTCCATTCAAAATCTCGACCTTCCTGCTCCGCTTCGAACGCCGTGCCGCCCCCGCGTCCCGGGAGGGGCCTGTCGGTCTCGATGACCGCGATGATGATCCAGAGATCCAAAAACTCCACACTTTCATGATGGGCCTGTCTGTTTTCCATCACCACCACCATCAGTTGGAGGGGGAAAGGAGGAGGAGGAGGAGGACGAGAAGGAGGAGGAGGAGGAGGAGGAGGAGGAGGCGAGGAGGAGGGGAGAGGAGGAGGAGGAGGGTGGAGGAGGAGGACGGGGGGAAGGAGGAGGAGGTGGGGGCACGCAGAAGGGCCCACACCAAAGTTCACCTTGGCGAAAGGACACTCTTACGGGTAGTCGATATGAGAAGTTCCGCGAGGAGGAGGAGGAGCAGGAGGAGGAGGAGGCGGAGGCGGAGGAAGAGGAGAAAGAGGCGAGGGAGGAGGAGGAGCAGGACGAGGAGGAGGCGGAGGAGGAGAATGATGCGGAGGAGGCGGAGGAGGAGGGGAGGCGGAGGAGAGGGAGGAGGAAGAGGAGGCGGAGGCGGAGGCGGAGGAGGTTGGAGGAGGCGGAGGAGGAGGGGAGGAGGAGGAGGAGGAGGTTGGAGGAGGAGGAGGAGGAGGAGGAGGAGGCGGGGAGGAGAAGGAGAAGGAGGAGTCTTGGCACTCGGAGGGCGGGGGGCGCAGGTCCTGCGACAGCCCCGAGCCGCCGGGCGGCGCGCCCGCCGGGCGGGGGCCCGCCGGGCTCCACGGCGACCAGCGCGCCCTCGGCGGGCGCCGCGGGGGCGGCGGCCGCGGCGGCGCGGGAGGAGCGCTGCCCGACCAGGAACTGCGACGTGGACCTGGGCGGGGGGAGGAGGAGGAGGAGGAGGAGGAGGAGGAGGAGGAGGAGGAGGAGGAGGAGGAGGAGGAGGAGGAGGAGGAGGAGGAGGGAGGAGAGGAGGAGGAGGAGGAGGGGAGGAAGGAGGAGGAGGAGGAGGAGGAGGAGGAGGAGGCGGAGGAGGAGGAGGAGGAGGAGGAGGAGGAGGAGGAGGAGGCGGAGGAGGAGGAGGAGGAGGAGGAGGAGGAGGCGGAGGAGGGGCGGAGGCGGTGGCGGAGGCGGAGGCGGAGGCGGAGGAAGAGGAGGAGGAGGAGGAGGAGGAGGAGGAGGAGGAGGAGGAGGAGGAGGAGGAGGAGGAGGAGGAGGAGGAGGGGCTCTGAGGTCCTGGGGCCACTCGCGTGGAAAAGGCAATCCACACGACGGGCGGTTTGTCCTCCGGTTTGGTTGGGCCTCTGGCGGCCCCCTCGTGGGCGTCGGGACCGTCGAGAAGCGACGCGGGAGGAAGAACCGGCCCCTGGGAAGGGGTCCAGACCTCTTTGGGGTCCACGTCATAAAAAAACGACGTCGGAAGTCTGGGATCATGGGGTCGCAATCGTTGCATAAAGGACCGACCACAACGATGTTTACCCCGACGTAGCGCTGACAACGAACAACGGAGCGAGGCCCCACGTTCAAAACGGGAGCTGGAAACGCAGCTGACGCCAAACGAAAGCGAAGGGCGAAGCGGGGCGCTTAAAATAAGAAAACGAAAAACGAGACGAAGCAACAACGAACAGCGACACGAACAACCAAACAAGGGCACAAACCAAGCAAACCAGCGCTGCGGGGCCCAGCTTCGGGCCCAGCGGGACTCTCACAGATGGGTGCGGCCCCAAGGGGTGATGCAGAAAGATGGAGGCTACAGGGCTCCGGTCGTGATTGCTCTGACGGTGTGTCAACTGTTTCGTGCTGTGGGAATCGGCGGTGACAGGGGGGACAGAGGGAGTCGGCGGCGCGGCCAGGGAGGAAGGGAGAGAGGCCGGGCCTCCTCGGGGCGCTCAGAAAGCCTTCAGGCCTCGGAGGGCCTCTGTGAGCCGTCTGCATCCCAAAGACGACAGGGCGTCTGAGAACCCCCGCCACCTGCTGAGAAGAGCTGTTCTCTCTCACATTCCCCTCTCGGCGCGCTGCCGAAGGGAAACAGCCGGAGGAGGGGCAGCATCTGGGGAAGCGCCCGATCATTTGCATGCATGTTTTTTTCTCCCTCTCACATGTACAGGTGTCTACTCTATACACATGTGGAATCCTTTCGCGCGTGTGTGTGTGTGTGTGTGTGCGCACGAATGTCTATGTATGCACGAAAGCATGCACATGTATGCGCGCTTAAGTGTCACCAGCATCAACACATCGTCCCCGTCGTCGTCGTCGTCGTCGTCTTCGTCGTCGTCCCCGTCACCGATATCAGCATGTCGTCATCATATTGTGGTTTTCCGGGGCTCTCACAGATCCTCCTGGGGCCTCCTGGTGCTTCCAAGGGAGAGCTGCCCCCAGACCTCTGGCGGAACGACGCGTTCACTCCGTCGTCCCCTGCGCTCCCGACCCCGCCCCCGAAATCAGCCCCACGGGGCCGAAGTGTCGGACAACAGCGTGCCTGCGCGAGCGGCAGGCCCGCCCGTCCGCCGCAGGTCCAGCCCTAGCCCAGGCCCTACTGGAAGCCTCCTGCGCCCCCGCCCCTGCGACGAGGCTGGGACCTGGACAACATCGGACTGGGACACATCGGGAAGCTCTGAGGTCGGGCGGTTCTGGATGGTGAAAGTTTTGAGATTCGGCGTTTCGACATTGGGCGGAAAGGGGGGGGGAGGGGGGGGTCTGGCCTCGGACCTCTGCATAGTGCGACTGTTTGGGACCGTGCGTCCTATGGGGATACTCTACGTACCTGCTCGAAACAGGCGCCACAAACAGCCAAGATCTACTCCAAGCGGCCGGGGGGGAGGGGAAGGGGGTGGTGCGAGGGCCTGCGCCGATCGGCAAAAGAATGAATTAAACAACGCTCACATATCGGGCGCCGCCGCTGTTCCAGAGCACTGCGGGACGCTCTGGCTCGGGAACGACGTCTCCGATCGGTCCCAGCCTTAGGTCGGGCATGTCCCCCCACAGGCGGATGTTGACCAGCATATATAGAATAGTCGCGAAATAATCAAAACTACTCAAAGATGGTCGAAAGATCCTCCCCATACTATTTGCTTTACTATTGTTGAATATTCATCCTGCAGAGGGGCACGCCCGACTTAGTCCCAGCCCCGCCCGCCGGCCCTACGCCCACCCACTCGCTGCGCTCGGATTTTCGCCTGCCGCACGCCGGAGGGGCCTTCGCAGCCGCTTGGCAGCGGGGGGCCTCTCCCCCGCGGCGTCCATCCCGGCGGCGGGCCAGAGGAGGGAGGAGGAGGAGGAGGAGGAGGAGGAGGAGGAGGAGGAGGAGGAGGAGGAGGAGGAGGAGGAGGAGGAGGAGGAGGAGATGGGAGGAGGAGGAGGAGGAGGAGGAGGAGGAGGAGGAGGAGGAGGGAGGAGGGGACAAGGAGAAGGAGGAGAAGGAGAAGGAGGAGGAGGAGGAGGAGGAGGAGGAGGAGGGGGAGGAGGATGAGAGAGGGGAGGAGGAGGAGCATGCTGACCGCCTAGATGGTGAGGAGGGAGAGGGAGGAGGAGGAGGCGGACGAGCAGGTGCACAGGCCTCCTCGTGGCCGCTCGTCGGCAAACTCATCCTCCCCACCTCTATCCTGGTGTGTCCTCCTTCTTGTGCTTCTTAACTTGTGTTTGGGGGTGGGGGCAATGGATGAGGCTAACCCAAACCCCTTTCGGGGTGCCCCCTCTGGAGCTTCGGGAGGGGCATGGTCGTTTGTCGCTGTCGCTGGGTTCTCTTGGCTGTGCTCGGGTCGGCCATCCCCTGGGCCGTCTAGAATGCTTGGGGGCGGGAGTGCACACCCTCCCCGGGGCCATCACGCCACGGAGGCGGTTGGGGATCCGGCTCTTTCCTCCGTGGGGGCTTCGGCTCCGGCTGGGGCTGCGGCTGGGGCTGCGGTGTCAGTCGCAGTGTCAGTCGCGGGTCCTGGGGGGCAGACCGGCGACTCGTTTGGCCAACGCGCGTCGGTGTCTGTGCAGAATGTGGTCGGTGCTGAGGCGATGGTGGTTGTTGAAGGCCCTACGTTTCCTTCAGGTACAACGCGGTGTCAGGAACGTGCTCTTAGGATCCGGGCCAAGAAGCGGATCAAGAAGAAGAAGGCTTCTCGTGCCAAGCGGTGCTGTGCCATGCATAAACTTGCCGTGCTTCGGCGGGAGGGCCGTCGCCGGAGGGCTCACAGGGCTCCCACGGCATGGTTCTTCAGGGGTGGCACTTGGAATACAAGGAAGTTGGGGACGGAGCGGGGCAACGAGAGCCCGGCTATCAAGGTTGGTGTTTTCCTCTCCCTGCTCAACGGGAGGAAATGGGACTTTGCCTTGTTTTCTGATGTGAAGTTTACATGTAATGGGGTAAGGGAGTATGAGGAAGGAGGGAGGAAGTGGACTTTCATCATTAGGGGGAAGGTTTGTGTGGCTTTAGGTAACAAACTGTCTGAGGCATGGAGGGAGTCGGGGTCGCAGGTCGTTGTTCGGGGAAGGGAAGGAAGAGCGGGTATTCGAGTGATGGGTGTTGTGATTCCCCGGAAAGGGCGGCGCAGAGGCATCTCTCTGCTGGCGTGCTACGCCCCGGTGTCGGGGACGAGGCCTGCTGCTGTCGCTGCCAGGGACCGTTTTCATGAAGAGCTGCGCTTCGTCGAGTCCCGTGTCCGGGGCGCTGATCAGCTGGTTATAGTCGGTGGCGACTTCAATGCGGAAGTCGGCCGGCCTCAGGGGGACGAGGAGCGGGAGGTGTTGGGTCTTCATGCGTCTCCGCGCCGCACGGACACCGGGCGCGAGCTTGTGGCCGCTTGCCACTCAGTCCCTTTATGTATCCTCAGTAGTATGTATGAGCAATCGCAGCCGGCCACGTGGTGGCACCTGCGGTACCGCACCGCCCATCAGCTTGATCACGTGCTCGTCCGGCCAAGGGACCGGAAGTTCTTTACGTCGTGCCGCACCCTCCATTTTGGGCCCCGTGGGCAGCAGGACGAGCGGGGACGAATGAGTCGACGAAAAGGAAAGAGGAGGGTGGATGGAGGAGGGGCGAGGGAGGACGGGGTGGTACCGTGGGCACCATATACGGACCATGAGCCTGTCGAGGTATGTGGGCGGCTTGACGTGCAGTGGGCGCGCGTGGCCCCAGTCGAGGAGGCTCGTGAGACAGTCCCCAATTATGGTGCCATGACGGGGTCTTCTGCTACTGCCAAGCAGTACAGGAGCGACTTCGAGAAGCAAATCACTGAGCGCATTTTGGGCTGTGCTGCGCCGCCCGTGTGGCGGGATGTCTGCAGGATCGTGAAGGAAGTCGCGCTGAATGTATTGGGCATGCGGGTGAAAAAGCACCAGATCCCGTGGCTTCGGGGTCACGAGGACACCAAGCGCCGACTCGACGAGGCTGTGTCTACGGCCGAGACAGCTTGGAAGACGGCCACTGAGGATACCAAGGTCGCCGCTGTAGCGGCGCGGCGGCTGGCGCGGCGGGAACGTCGCCGGACCCTGCGGCAGTTGGAGAACGCGTACTGGCGAGACATTGGGGGTCAGGCTTCCGCTGCGGCCCGGAGCGGGGATCAGGGCGAGCTATTTAGGCTCTTCCGTGACCTCCGGCTTCGGCGCGGGGACAGGTGCGACTCCGGTCGTTGGAGCGTCGGTGACGTCGCAGGAGAACGGGAGAAGTGGAAGCAGCACTTTGCTGCCATCTCTAAGGACGTGGGGGTAGTTGCTGAGCACGTGTGGCAGCACGTGCCACAAACGGCAGTGGTTGTGGAATGGCTCGCCGCCCCTCCCACAGACCCAGAGCTGATGGCCTGCGTCAAGAAAATGCAGCCTGGGCGTCAACCAGGAGAGGACGGGTTTGTCGCGGAATCTTTAAAGTATGGGGGTGACGCCCTGCGGGCGCGGGTTTTTGACATCGTACGGGATATGTGGGAGCGTGCGTCCCGGGCAGATGAAGACGGCGAGGCCGAAGATTGGCCCGAGGAATGGAAAGTGGGCTTGGTCGTGCCGCTATGGAAGCGCAAGGGTAACCGCGCTGATAAGAATACGTGGCGCGGCATCACACTGCTGTCGGTGGGCTCCAAATTGGTGGCTCGAGTCGTGGCCTCTCGGCTCGCTCAGTGGTCTGAGGGTTTTATGGCGGAGGAACAGTCTGGCTTCAGGCGGGGCCGGGGCACTGATGACGCCCTGCAGGTAGCGCGGCGCCTTATTGAGGAGGCTCGTGCTTTGACCAACGGCAACGCTGTTGTCCTCTCGTTCTACGACATAGAAAAGGCTTATCCACGAGTGTGCCGGCCGGCCCTGTGGCGTTTGTTAGAACGCAGAGGCTGTCCCCGGGGTTTTATCCGAGTGTGCAAGGCTCTCCACGAGCACACGGGCTACAAGGTGCGGGTTTTACAGGGTTTGTCGTCTCAGTGGTACCCTCGCCGCGGGCTACGGGAGGGGTGCCCGTCCAGCCCTCCCTTGTTTAACGTGTTTCATGATGCAGTGCTTCGGGACTTCCGCCTTCGTCGGAAGCGACGTGCTGAGGCGGCCGGCCACGCCCCCGGTCTCGCCTGGGACTACCAGATAGATGGCAAGCTCAACAAGCGAGCCAGGACGCGGACTCACGTCGCAGGGGATAAGAGTTTCGCCAGTACGGTTCGTTCTACTGTCATTGGAGATCTGGGTTTCGCGGATGACACGGCATTGGTAGGCATGGCTGATGAAATGCGGGTGGCCGACCCATTGTTCGAGACCACGATGGCCGACTGGGACGAGAGGCTCAACCGGGGCAAAACGGAACGTCTTCGCATTTGTGGTGTTCCCCCGGCACCATACGATGTGCCCATGGAGTTCGAGGTTGAGCAGGTTAAGCATATCGGGGGCATACACTGCAGAAGCGGGGCTCTGACTGCGGATACGACCAAGCGTGTTACGGCGGGCAACGCGCTAGTTAAATCCTTGGCCAAAGGTTGGTCGGTGGGTACGGCGCACGGTCGCGGCCGCACGAGCGGAGTTGATATTAGCACCAGGCTCCAGATTGTGCACTCCTGTGTGATTGGGCTGCTCACGTCCGCTTCGCGGTCACGGGGCTGGACGCGCCACGACCTGGCTAGACTTCAACGAGTGGCCAATTATGGCGTCCGCCGGGCGTTCGGCATGGATGTGCTCATTATGAGGGACCTCGAGATTTCGGACGCGATGATGTACCGTGCAGCCCAATGGCGGTCGATGGAGGATTTAACGGCGCGCTTGGCACTGCAGTGGTTCGATGCCGGTATGGCGGGTGCCGAAACAGGTCCTGTTCGGGTGGCTGTCAGCGCGGGGGGGCACCCCTACGGTGGGTCGCATCTGGCAGTATCAGTGGCTGCGGAAGTGTGTCCGGAGGCTGTCAGTCGAAGAAATTGATTGGTTTCGACGCGCCCAGGCCCGGCGAGGGTGGAGACGTGCGATCGACAACAGCTTCCCAGGCGCCCCGTTGACGACAGAGCAGCGCACGGCCATCAATGCGTGGCGTCCCGGGGCTCCTTTGCCGTCGTCGGGGGCGGGGCCGTCGTCGTCGTCGTCGGTCGTCCCTCCTCCTCCTCCTCCTCCTCCCCCTCCCCCTCCCTCCCCCGACGACGACGACGATGAGGCCCAGGAGACCGCGTACTCGTGCCCAGTGTGTCTTGCGAGTTTTGCCACGGGCAACCAGCTGCAGTTTCATTATGATGCTGAGCACTCTGTTCGGGATCCTACGGTTGTCACCAGCCTGAGCCACCAGTGTCCTGATTGCAAACAGTATATGGGCAGAGATGTCAAATACCATAAGGCCACATGTCCCGCGAGACTCGAACTGCGTGATGCCATGCAGGTGGAGTTCGGCAAATGGGAGCCTGTTCTCCACGGGCCACACGCCGCGCCGCCGTTAGGCTGGTGGATTGCCACCGACGGGTCAGGGCTCGACGGTGAGGCGGGTTGGGGCGCAGTTATCTTTCGTTATGAAGGGCCGGGCAGCCCGGGTATGGTGCCTGATTTCGTGCTGCATGCCCCTGTGGTGTGTAGAGCTTGGGATCACAGGTGGATCGGCGCCCGGTCCCAGACGAATAATACAGCAGAGCTGTCTGCCATCGGGGAAGTCATGCACTGGCTGCTGAATGAGGCGCCGGATGGTGGAGCTGTTCCCGTGCACATCCGCTATGATTCGGAGTATGCAGCCAACACCGCCCGGGGCCTGTGGGAGGTGAAGTCCAATGAGGAGCTGGCGGAAACGGTGCGGGGGCTGACGGAACAGGTTATGGCTAGACGCCAAGTGACGTGGGAACACGTGTATGGGCACACTGGAGTGCACGACAACGAACTCGCGGACCGTGCTGCGGATTTGGGACGCCAGGGCATGGTTTCGGAGCAGTCTCTGCGATGGCTTGCGCCCCCTCCCCAAGTCGCCGCCCTTCGGTGGCAGGATATCGACTATTGCAAAAAATGCGGCATTGAGGTCCTATCCAAAGACATTAAGTGGCATTTCCGGCGGTGCACGGCCGTAGGATTTGCCATCACACCAGGGATGACTAAGTGTCGTAAGTGCAAGATGGAGGTCAAAGAGGGGTGCAGACACGCGCACGAGAACAAATGCCGCGGGAGTGAGCTCCTTAATAGGACGTGTAGTAAATGCGGCAAAGTTTTTGAGCCCACGGACCCACCAGGCATGATCTCTCGCCCTTGTGGAGCTCATGAGAAATGGTGTCGTGGCGAGCGCGTGCCGGCGCCCCCAGACCCTGCGGCGCCCGCAGCGGCAGCACCCGCGGCTGCCCCAGCTGTGCCCAAAGCGAAACCGCGGGCTAAGGGCGGTGCCAAGGCGGTGGCCGCGGTCCGCGGTAGGGGAGCGGCAGCCAAAGCATTAGGTCGCGCACGGGGTCGCGGGCAGCCAGATCCTGGTGGTAATATGAGGTTAGCGCTACGGCGCCCCGCGGGCCACGGTTAGGGCCATCCCTCAATGCCGCGTTTTTGCCGGTCGATGGCTCGGAAGCTGGCGGTGGTGATCCGCCTCCTGTGTTGTGTTCCTCCTCCTCTCGTGTGCAGGTGTTGTTTTTCTCCCCCCTCGTGGTGAGTGTCCTCCTCGTGTCGTTGTGTCTCCTGGTGGCTGCTCTGTGCCGGCGGCGATCCTCGACAGTTCGACCGCGGGGGCGGCTGGTGGTTCTACAGTTCCGCCGAGCCGGCCTGTCTCATCTGGGGACAGGTCAAAGCCGCCCCCAAGCCCTTACAGCCGGGGCAGAGTATCGTTGTTGTGTCTCTCGGAGGAGGTGGTGTGTGTTGTCTGTGCGTGTATGTGTGTGTGTGTGCTTGTGTCTCCCCTCCTCTGTTCTCCCCTCTCGGTGGTGGTTGGTCCCCGGTCCCCCGCCCTTTCCCTTCCTCCCTCGTCCTTCTCTCCCTCCCGTCCTTCCTCCCCTTCCCCCGCCTGCTTCCTCTTTCCCTCCCTCGTCCCCCCCTCTCCTCCCTTCCCGTCCAACCACCACTTGTGCTTTTGTCATTCTCGGTGTGCTGCTGCGCGCGAACGCAGCCCCATGTGACACATTGTTTGTGACACGGCAGTCGCCCCAGCTCGAGCCCACGCGCCGCCCGTCCCACCCCGCGCTGCGATGGCGGCTGCTCGCCGTGCACAGATCGACCAGGCTCTCAACGATCACGCCGATCGTATTGTTCAGCTCGAGCTGACGCAGCGCCGCCACTCTGCGGCTCTTGACGCCCTGTTGAAGAGCACGGTCCTGATCGTCGAGGGCTTTCCGCAAGCGGACGGCTTCTACCTGGGTAAAAAGGAGGCGGGGGCCTTCCGCGAGCTCAAGGAGGAGTGGCCCAACGTAGTGTGCAAGGAGGTTGCAGAGCGCCTCGACGTCACTTGGCCGCTCGACGACCAGATGGGCGGCGGCAATAATGAGCGCACCGAAGCTGTTCGCTGCCTGTACAGGGCCCTGTCAGCCCGCGGCTTGATAGTGGGTGTCTACGAGGAGCGGAAGTGGAGCGACGCAGCCGGCGGGGGCAGCGGTTGGCAGCGCCTTCCGGGGGTCTTCAAAACGAGGCTGCGGTTCTGCACAGAGTCGCTCCTCGTCCAGAGCGCGCTCGGGCCCTTGGACAAGCTGTTGAGGACGGCGTGTGGCCTGGACGTGGACGGCCGCCCCACGCGCGTGCAGGGCGTCGAGCCCCCCCCGCGGCGCCTCCTTTACTTGGAGCGCACGCCGGAGGAGCGGGGCAAGGGCAAGGGCGGAAAGGGCCCCAAGGGCGGCAAGGGCGA